AGCTGGGAAGGGTTAGCCTCCCACTAGTTCGAATTAAGTGGCTACACAGCCCTTAATTCGAACTACTTAATTCGAACTAGGCTTAGTCCTCGTAGAATGAGGTTTACCTAGTTCGAATTAAGCGCTCCGCTAGTTCGAATTAATTTCGAACTAGCAGTTTGCCTGTGTAGCGCCTATGAATGTTAATTCGAACTAACGGCTGTTAGTTCGAATTAACTTTGTAGTGTAGACATACCCCATGTGACATCTTGGTGCAGCAGCTGCTGTTTGCATTGGCCTATTCACTGCTGCCACACACATTACAAACTTTTGCACCTAGTTTGCTGTCTCTACAATTAGGGATGTTAGATAGCGTGTACTTGAATAGTTGTGTAACTGCATGAAATCTTAGCAGTTACATGACTGTTTTATAGTCCCTGGGAGAAGGGCTAGCAGCCAGTGCACTCCCAGCCCCACTCCTGGGGAGCCCACTGGATCAGAGGCAGCATCGTGGGATGGCAGGTGGGAGCCAGTCCATGAGCGGAGCCAGTTTAAAAGTCAGTTCCCCACGCAGACCAGCTGCCTGCCACTCTGCACTGCTGCCTCTGATACAGAGGCAGACACATGGGGTGGCAAAAGCCCCGGTCTGCAGGAGTCTGAGCTCCCCATGGACAGAGGCTGCTGTGGAGGGTTGGGGCTGCAAAGCACCCTCTGTCTGCTGCATCCCTGGCTGGCTGTGGACAGAGGCTAGTCCGGTAGCAGCTATTGTCTGTGGAGCAGCTCAGCTCCCTGCGGACAGAGGCGGCTCCAGCTTCTGAACTTGCCTGCCTTTTAACTCTCGGTTTGCCCTCTGACTGGCTATGAACTCTGACCTCCTGGTATCTGACTTGGCCTACTTTCTGAGGCTTGACTCTCAGTTTGCCCTTTAATCTATCCTGGACTCTTCCCACCTCATACCTGCCCTGCTCTGACCACTAGGACTGATTACTCAGGTCTTGGTCATGACATACAAATAAATAAAAATGGGACGATTGCAGGACAAGATTGCATAGAATCTCATATCATGTGATTGTTTTGATCAAGGTGGATTTGATTTAAATCATGATTTAATCACTAGTCAGGAGGACTTGATTTAATCATGGTTTTCTACATAAAAGTGCATGCTTGTTGGTTGTCATAACCTTAATATGGTTTCTTCCCAACTCGGAGATAAATGAAGGTTTCATTTTTAGAAGGTACACACTATACATTTTTAAACAGTGATTTATTTTGAAAACTTTTCAGATTGTTTTTTACAGCTATATCAGAAAATGAATGATTGTTTGGTTATGTCATTTTCCAAAGGTAATTGGAGCAGATATTGGGAGGTGAACTATCTCCAATTCAATGAAGTAACCATTAATATTTGGAGGATTTTCTTGCCATGCTGTTTTAGGAGAATATCACCAGACAATAACGTTATATATTCTGAATTTTTTTCTTCAACAGCAAAAACAGCAAGCACGTTTTTTTTTATTTTAATTAAACATTCAAGCTTTTTTAAAATCAAGTTTGTTTTTGTTAAAATTGCTTTTAACTAAAATAGTTAAATGAATTTTAATATGAACATTAAATTGACTGTCGGCCAGGTCAACATGAGAAATTTCAAATATTGGCTTCTGTTCACTGAACTTTTTGAAACTTTGCATTTTTAGACAGAAGTAAGGGCTTGACTCTGTGTACACAAATTTGCAGAGGGACAGTAGGGTTGAGGTTTGTTATTTCTCACTTCTGTATATTAGGGTATATCTATAAATCAAAGTTATTTCGAAATAACAGCTGTTATTTTGAAATAATGTTCCTAGCATCTATACAAGCCAACTGCTATTTCAAAATTAAATCAAAAATACAGAGGGCTTATTCTGAAATTGGTAAACCTCATTCCATGAGGAATAATGCCAAATTCGAAATAGCTATTTCAAAATAAGTGCTGTGTAGACACTTATTTCGAAATAGGGGGCCTCCAGCCCTTCCCAGGGTGCCCTGGTGGCCACTCTGGGCACAACCAAGAAAACCCCTCCCCCCTCTCCTCCCCCCCCCAGAGCCCTTAAAGGGGTAGACTCTGGCCACAGTGACTGTGCCAGATCCAAGCCTGCCAGCCCAGAGCCAGCAGTCACTGCCCTGACCCAGTGGCCCCACAACATGAGCCAGTAAGCCACTGGCAGCCAGCCCTCTGACACTCCACAGGAGCAGTCTGCCAGTTCCCAGGAGCCTGCCAGGGCCCAGAGAAGGCAGGCGCCTTCCTGGTCCAGGGTGGAGATCATTGACTTTATTCGGTTTGGGGGGTATGCCCCCAACATCCATGATCTCCACACTAGATGGAGCAATGCAGCTCTCTATGGCAGGATAGCAGCCAGCCTGGCCACTAAAGGCTATATGTGAACTCAGGAGCAGGTTTGCATAAAAAACAAGTTGGTCCAGAATGAGCCAAAAAGCCACTGGCAGCCAGCCCTCCATCATTCCCCAGGAGCAGTCTGCAAGCTCCCAGAAGCCTGCCAGGGCCCAGAGAAGGTGGGCGCCTTCCTGGTCCAGGGTGGAGATCATGGACCTTATTCAGATTTGGGGGAGATGCCCCCAACATCCATGATCTCCACACAAGATGGAGGAACGTGGCCATCTATGGCAGGATAGCTGCCACCCTGGCCACCAAAGGCCACATGCGAACCCACGAGCAGGTTTGCAAGACAATCAAGTCAGTCGAGCAAGACCCCCTCCCCTCTGAGCATCCCCTTCCCCTTCTTCCCCTTGCTTCCCCCTTCCATCTCCCTCCTCCCAGGTTTCCCCCTCCCCTCTCCCGCCTCTTTTCCCAGTCTCACCAGAGTTTCATTCCCTCCCCCCCCAGTTTTGTTAAATAAAGAGAGTTTGTGTTCATGAAAATACATGCATTTTATTTTACATCAGGAAGGGGGGGTTTGGGAGGGTGTAAGTGGAAGGACATGAGGTTGACATCAGGAAGGGGGGTTAGGGAGGGGTAAGTGGAAGGACGTGAGGGAGGAATGAGGCACAAGCCCTCAGTGGGGCAGACCAGGGAGGCTCTTAGTGCTCCTCAGGGTGGAAGCTCTCCCGCAGGGCCTCCTGGACACTGACAGCCCCCCGATGGACCTCCCTGATGGCAGAAAGTGCAGCCAGGCTCACAGCAATGTGTCCATGAGAACACCAAAGTGCTCAGGGGCAGCTCTGGTTTCATGTTGCAGAGTGCTGTGGTGTCCCGAGTGAGGGCAACCAGAGCACGCAGAGACAAAATGCTCTGCTGTCCCTCTTTGAGGTAGGCAAGCAAGCAGGGAAACCTAAGAACTGGCTTTCTGGGTGCAGGGGAGGTGTCCCTTTAAGCACAGGCTTCAGATAGCCTCAGGTAGCAGCCACACAAAGTAACTCCTGACCTGATGCCCTGCTGGACCTGATTCCGGCCGGCCTTAAATGCGATTCAGCATCCAATCAGTGGTGACGTGCTATTTTGAAATAGCCAAATGCTATTTTGAAATGCATTTTGTGTGTAGACGCGTTAATTCAAAATAAGCTATTTCAAAATAACTATTTTGAAATTAGTTATTTCAAAATAACGCTGTAGTGTAGATGTACCCTTATTTATTTATATATTTATTTTAAAATATTTTTTGCTGTTAACAAGCATATTAGCTCTGGAGACACAAATCCACAGTTTGAGAACTGCAAAACTAAGCATCTCTGACAGTATCTTCTAGACTGAGCACTGAGTCCCATTGAGTAGATAGAAAGATTAACCTAAATAATCCATGCAGAAGCCTCTGGAACCATATATGATTGGGTCTCTAATCCATGAACAATTGGAATTCACAAAACTTTTATTAAACCTCATATTAATTAGAATTTATAATCCGTGTTCCATGATAAAATGCCTTTGAGGTATGGTGTATCTTAACTAAAATTACATAGGTTTTATCCTCAAAAAGCATTTTATCAAAAAATCCCATTTTTATTTTTTTTTTAATCATTGATGTTTCTCCACCCTGGTTTTGATGCAACACTTCATGACTGTTATAAACCTAATTTATTTAAATGTACTTTTGGTTATGGTGTTCCCGAGCACTACAGTTATCAGTCATTTACGTACACGTACCTCTCTAGTGATGAGTCTCTGGCTTTGAGGCACACTGTATTGAACTGCCTACATGTACAGCACAGTGTGAACTACATCAAGATCTCTTAGCACAACTTCTTGGTTGTCCTTTCATGGAGAATAACTTTATTTGCTCACACGAAAAAAAGGAGCAACCAAGCGACTACAGTTTTCCACTCCACAGGGAATAACTCTGGCATCACAGAGATCAGAGTGAGATAACAGCTGGCAGAAGATGACTTTTTAATGACAACCCATGTAATTCTATTCTCTTATCGAGGCTAGGGACACACACAAGTGGTTAGAGACTAATTCTTTATTGCTATTAAGTTTAGATGCTCAATAGAATAAATTATACATGTGTGTATTTGTACATCTATATCTAATCTATATCTGTATCTATAAAGAGGCCAGATCACAAGCTGGTATAAATCAGCAGCAGACAATTGAATACAATTTATTTATACTAGCCAAGGGCCTGCCCTTAAATGACAAAGGTCTCAGTTGCAATGACATTACTCTTCATTTATTTTAGTCCAGCATTACAACAGCAAGACAGCAGTACCCTCATTTGAGTTCATCTGCTCCAGAGAGGCAGTCCTAAGGATCTTTCAGATTAGCTCACTCATATCTAAAAGTCTGGTGTTGCTGCTTGATCATACTCTATATCCTGATTCATTTGTAACTTTCAGAAAAACTTTAATGGGACAAAAATAAAGTTTTGATCAAAATCTCCATATGAATTGCTCCAGCAATCAATTTTTATTTTACAATCCTCTGCTGACACTGAAAGCACTGATTGGAAAATTTTGATTTCCCTTACCTCACTGACGATCGTAGAGTGGGGTTGTTTATATACCCAGCCATCCTGGCAAGAAATAAGCGGCACGCTGCCCAAGCTGTGATTAGTAAAGTGGGACAGTGGGTTGGCACAGCTCACAGAGGTGTTATTCCACTTTATGTCAAACCTCTCACACTGGCCACGGGAAGACCTGTTTACAAAGTTCAGAGCTGGCACAGTATAGTTTTGTTCCTCTTCAAGGGTCCATCCACATCGCTCGCTTAATTCTGCTGCTCCAGGGATCCTGCACCAATAGTTCTCTGGTCTGTGCCCAAGAAATACCATTCCAACAAATAGAAAAGAAAAAGTTATTCCTGTCTGGCAAAGGAGGAAAAAGACCCTCTTTTGGAACCTTCCAAATTCCCCAGCTTCTTTTAAAATCTCATCAAAAGACGGCATTGTGTGCAGCTGGTTTTCAACTCGGAGGGATCCAAGAGATGACAGAGTCAACAGCTTTCAAACTTTGTAACTAGTGCTGGTGCTTCCTGTAAACGTATCTGTGAGGACTGTCTCTCTTCCTTTCCTCACACACATGCATAATCACAGTAGCATAAGCAGCTTTCGAACAGAGCAAAGTTCCACAGACCTACCCAGAATGTTGCGATATGTCAAGTGGAGTGAGGCTTACACACAGCAGTTTAGAAGTGCAATATAAAGTGGGCAAACATACAGTAAGAGAGAAGGGGCGTGAGTTTCCTATCTATCCAGAATGTTAAACAGATTATGTAATAAAAACAATTAACTCTTTAGGGACAGGCATGCAGTAAACACCAGCTCTGCCTGCTGCTGTTGTCCTTACAAAGGGGGGGGCTTAGAAAAAACACAGAGTGTTAAATAAAAACATAACAGAGAGGAAGCTGCTGCAGAAGTAGCAATGAGCGATGTCAGCATACTGGGTGGCAGTGACAGAAATGCTCTTAAAAAGCTATGAAGTCTCCCCTTCAGAACACAGAAGTTTATTTCTGCAGCAGTGTTCGAATACCTATCCAAAGTGCTATGGAACCATTTGTGCAGCTTTCATTGGAACTGCTTTTTCCTTTCTTCGTTAGAATTAAAGAGAGGCAGTGTAGTCATGTAGTGTGTGCTCAGAATGTTGGCATTTTTTAAAAATAGGTCTATCTGTAGGTTTTTATATGGCCTCGTCCAACTTAGTATCTGAGCGTCCCCTGCTCTCTCCTTTCCCAAAGCAGCTCTACATTTGGTTAGACAGTAACTTTCCCTGGGGTACCAGGACTTGTGGGGGCCAGAGATCTAGTGGGGCTGTAGGTGAGTGGCCATCCAGAGGGTAATCTAAGCCACAGAAAGAATGTGTTTTCTATTTACAATTCTGAGAGTGGTGAGATGTGTGGCCAGGCTTATCTCTTTACAGGAGTACGTTTAGGGCCGGTTCCTGGGGCAGTTCTGTCTCCTGCAATTACTTGTCTCTTATTGGTCATAGTTGTCATTGATGGGATGTATGGTTGCTGAGATAGAAGCAATCTTTCAGGAAGGTAGGTCCAATCCCATATCAGGACAGGAAACTTGAAACAGTGCTCAGGGAGGGAGCAGGTGATGTGTGCATGGTGACTTGTTTTGCTAAGGAGATGAGCTTTTGTATCAGGCTGAACTCTTATAGGACTATTCAGTTTTATTCCTTCATAGCATTAATTGCAAAATAATAAAACCCGGAGGTCACAAAGGTTATGCCTGGGTCAGGCATGTGTTTGACGTAGTTTGGTTCAGTCTTCTGGCCAGTTGCAAACAAAAGTGGGTTTGGGATTTTGTTTTTGTTTTTTTGTTTTGTTTTTGGCCACCAGGATTATCTGTGAAGCCAATAAAATTAGAGTCTGAAAGAGACAGGCATTATCCTTGAAAAATCTCAATGACCAAAGAGGAGAACTTTCCTCAGGACAGTCGATGGCCGAGAGAGCCATGCTTAGCTGAATTCAACCAAAATTACAATCTTCTTATAGGTTTGTTCCTTTGTGATAAAATCTTCATTTAAAATATGACCATACAAATATGAAATGAAAAAATTTAGTTTAGAAAAGCCCCACAAACTGTCAGATTTTTAAAAACCCTAGAGAATCTAAAACACAAAATATTCCTTGTAACCATCATTCCTTCTAACAGCTAGACTGTCATCTGGAAGTTGTTTCCATCCACATGGATGCAATTCTCAAGAAATAACTTTGAGATGCATCACTTGCGTTCTCTAGTTGACTCAGTCATACCAAAAATTGAGTGGTAAAACCAAGAAGCCTATGCAGACTCTGTAACTGCACTAAACTAGAGCTGATCATCTAATAACTTTTTCAGTTGCCAGCAGTTTTGAAAAATAAATGATTTTGGGTCAACTAGAAATATTTTCAGCAGATCAGTGTGTCAAAAATTGCTGAGTGTTGAACGAAACATCTCTTTTCACCAAATCATTTTTGTTCTCAACAATTTTCACACTTTTAAAAAAAATTAAATTAAAGGACATTTTGAAACAGAATATTGACACATTTAATTTAGACACTGTCAAAATAAAACATTTTACCTTTTTTTTTAAAAGATTTTATTCTTACCAAAAGAAGTTGGTGACCTTCACATGGATTTGCAATATGTTTTGATGTCTCTGAATCTTCATTTTCTCTGGGAAAAAGATTAAAATGAAAAACTTCACCCAGCTCTATATTAGACCCACCAATAAAGTGAATTGCATCATTCCTGTACAGAAGGATGACCAGTTGTGCATTTTCTAAGATGGGGCTTTGTGCCATGAAATTTAGAAGCCATTTCATATCAGACCATCATACACAAAAATAACTATTTTCAATGAGAACAGCAGCCATCAGAAGTACCAGCTGGCCCAATTACCATATGAGACTAATCCGGCTTAGTTTATATTTCAGATAAAGGGGACACATGAAAATTTGATATATTGGGCCAGATCTTCAGCTGGTGAAAATCACTGGAATTAGGAACATAAAACCAAAGAAACTGCCATAATGGCTCAGATCAACAGTCTGTCTAGTCCAGTATCCTGTCGATGACAATGAGCAGCATCAGATACTTCACAAAAGGGTGAGAGTGCCCCACAGTAGTTAGATGTGAGGTAATCTCCTCCCAACAATATGTTTACTTCTGATCTCTATTAGAGATTGCCTTGAATTCTGAAGTATCAGGAATTTAATATCCCTTCTATAGAATATAGAAATAGGCAAATATCTCTTTAATTAGTCAGTGAGCCCACTAGCGGTCCTCACTGTCTTCTGTGTTCTAACAGAATGCTGTCAAAGCAGAAGAACGTGTGGGTAGCCAAGTTGTGCTGGTGATATATGTTTAGTAAACATGGTTATTTGGACCTCACTTTGCCCATATGGCTTCTTTATATTACATATGTTGTATAGAAAGTGGAAGACACAACACCTTCTAAAATCTTTGTTCCCCCACATAAAATAGCCCTGGTTATTCTTATTAGTGTTATCCCATTTTGACTCTTGCTACATTTTTTACTTTGATGGCTTCATGTTGCAATGAGTTCCACAGTCTAATCCCATTTTGCTTGAAAAAAAATTTCCTTTGATCAGTTTTGAATTTACCAAATTTTAACTGGTCCATGAATGTAGCTAAGAAGCCAGCTGATTAACTAAAAAAAAATCATAAACTGAAGCTGTGTGGTGAGAGCAAAGGGAGAAAATGCAGGTTAGTAGTTGGGGTACAGGCCTGGGAATCAAAACTCGTGGATCTATCCTCGTACTCACTCATGATCTTATCCACACCAGAGAAATTTACCATGCAAAGTGACAATTGTTTCCCGTTAATCAATTGCAACACCTCTTATCAACAAACAAAATTGCTCCAGATGAGAACATCAGTTCTTCCAATCTTCATCATTTTAGTGTCCTAGTGCTATCTATCTCCCATAATGCACTGCCATGAACTATTGGGTAAGAAGGACATTGTAGTTGAAAAGGTTTAGTGCGAGTGTGGACACAGGGAAAACCTGCAAGTGTTTTTAACATGTGTCAGTGAACCATTCATTCTTTACTTGGTTAAATATACCCAGTTCAATACTCTAATGTAGATGTGACTCAAATGATCATGGTTCCTTAATCTTTTCCCAAGCTTCCATTTAACCTGCTAAAAGTGGTGTATTAATATTTGATTATGCCAGAGGGTGTTGTGAGATGTAGCGTTGATAGATGAATTTAACATAATCAAAGTATAGATGCAGGAAGTGTGCATTACTGTTATTCTAGAACCAGTGATTCTCAGATTACCCCAGTTTTCCTGGAATTCCAATGATAGCTTAGACATCAGAGTTTCAAACTTACATTTCATTGCTTGGAGACACTTGTGAAAGAATTTATTGGGTAGTAACACTGATGTTGAGAAGAGTATTTGCTACTGGAATATTCATCACTATATCAAGTACAAAGCTCATCTCACAGACCTGGAGAAAGTGTGCCAAGTAAAGGATGGGGACAGGGATATAGCCAGGGGGGAAAATAAAGGCCACCTGAACTAGTTTCATATAGTAACAGACACACATGTAGCCAGAGTCTCTCTCCAAAGTCACACCCAACAAATAAATACAAGGAATTTAAGGACAGGATGGGAATCAGTCTCACTGGCTTTTATTTCTATCTCTGCCACTGACTGGCTAATTCAAACTGCTCAATCCATTTGTGCCATTGTGTTTTCTCTCTCATAAAATAGACATGGCCAGCCCACAACATTCTGGCACCTGAGGTGGGGAGCTCAAATGATGTCCCCATACACCCTCGCTTGGGCCAAAACTTTTAAAGGTTTCAATTCTGCCTTCTTCCTGTTCTATTCCTCTCATGGTACTGTAGAGAGAATACATATGCACCAGCAGCAGACACAATTTTCTACACTCTGGGTCCTAGTGGTGCCCCCACACAGTCTGGCACCTGAGGTGGCCACCTCAGTTCATCTCATGGTAAGGACAGCCCTGAAAATAGAGAGCTGCTCAGCACCAAAGTTCATACCTAGATGCCCATGTTCTCAGACTGGGAGGTGCCTGGATTCAGGGTTTTGGTTTAGGCCACTTCCTGAAAACAGCAATAATCATTCTTCCCCACCACTGATGGTGTACAGAACTTCTAGAAAGAGTGACAGTGAAGAAATGAAGCTCTGAAATACCATTGACAGCTCTGAAAAGTTCCAATTTAAAAACAGAAAGCTAGGTGTTCTTTTTGTGTAGGTGAAAATTGGGGTTGGGGATAAAAGCACTGGCTAGAATACATCAAACGCTACAGCTACATTTGGAACTAGGGGTGTAATTCTCAGCTTGTGTGAATATAATCACACTAGCTCTCAGAGAGCTAGTGCACTAAAAGCAATAGTGTAGGCAGTACCACAGACAGTGTCTACAACTTAATACCCCCATGTATACACCCGTGGGGTCCAGGCAGGTTTGTACTTGAGGTAGCTACCCCATGCTGCAGCTTGCTGCTGCCCTTGCTGCTATGGCTACATACTACTATCTTTAGTGAGGTAACTCGCATGAGTATGTTTACATGAGCTCCAAATGTAGATATAGCCATAGCAATCACAGGCACCAGGCAAGCTACCAGATACAATTGTGCCTTTCCAGTAAAAAACCAACCATACCCCTGCTAACTCAGGCCTGGAATGCTGTTGTGTTA